GGAATTAAATGGGATACCAAGAACAACAACAAAATGAAATAATGAAACAGGATCCAAAGTCGTCTTTATGAGTAGAAACACAAACTCCTTTAACCTACTCCTAAGATTTATCAAGAGGGAGATTAAAGAAACCCAGTGGTTTGCCTGATAAAATGCTCATTATCTTGGTGAGCACATTATTCCACCTGGTATATCAGTGAGCATACTTTCCAACTGAGTGATAACTGAGGCAATAATTAGATATTAACATTTGATAATGGGTATTTTCTCTCCTCTTCTTCTCTCCTCTTTCTTGTCCCTTCCCTTTTAAACTTATTTGGTTTGGCCTCAGGCCTACTGGAAACACTTAGGCAAGTGGAGCTGAAGAAGTGCTGGCATATTTGCCAGACTACAAACTCAGGGCCATTGCACTGCTTGTATTCTACATCTCACAAAGTCAAAAAGGACACATTTATAGTTGAGAATTTACTGAGCACTGATTAATTCATTCAAAATCTGTAGAGCTACATGAGCCTTTAGTCTAAGAATGGAAATGAAAATCCTGTTTCTGGTCAGATGGCATCCTTTAAATTCAAAAACTACCCCCAAATTTAAAACAAATATTCAACTACCCATTTCTTTAAAATATCTATATAGCACCACAGTAGTCACATTTATTTAAATACTCCAATTTAGGGCCGGCCCATGGCTCACTCGGGAGAGTGTGGTGCTGATAACACCAAGGCCATGGGTTCAGATCCCATATAGGGATGGCCGGTTAGCTCACTGGGTGAGCGTGGTGCTGACAACACCAAGTCAAGGGTTAAGATCCCCTTACCGGTCATCTTTTGAAAAATAAATAAATAAATAAATAAATACTCCAATTTAAAAAACAATCAAATTAAAGTATGTACAGGTCTATTCATTTCCCCCGATGTTTTCCTTTTCATATTCTAGTCTGGGATATTTACATCATAAAAAGTACAGGTTAGAAATGCCATTATTTATTGACATTCTTTCTAAGCAGACCAAGTGCAAATACTGAGATCAAAGAGCAAGAATAAGGGAAGAAAAAAAAGCTAGATGGCACAATTTACTCCACCAGGGCTTTAATGGAGTACTATTTTTTTTTTTTTAAGGAGAAGTCTCTTCAATTTAAGGAAACAAGGTACCTTTAACCAACCCAAACAACCAGTTCTGATTCTCATCCTCCTCCTCAGAAGTAAATTAATTTTGCACTATACACTTTTTAAACATGTGGCAGGGGGAAGTAAGAGAAGCAGATTGGGGAGGCTTGCTTTATTTTATTTGTTGGTTTCAAATCTTTCTAGCTTTTTGGAAAGAGCATCTCTACAAAATTTCTGCATACACTGCAGATTTCTGGTAAGGAAAGTTTGTGCTATTTCAAAGGCTTTGCTGAATTTGAAAAACTACAATTACTGTTTTCATCCTGTCATGTCAAGATTTCTTAAGAACTATTAAGACTGCTCTTTATTCCCTATGCACACCAACTCTGACATGCTTAAAGGGCTGAGATTTGGCATTTAGTCACAAAAGGCACCAGGAGACATAAAAGGGAAGAACTCATCTAAATCTTCACATAGCTTAGGATAAAGCTTCAATGATTAAAAACCTGTGACCTGATTTTCATAAGGTAAAAAGAACAAATACTTCTCTAAACAAATATTTTATCCACCTTTAAATGTTTTCTTAGCAGGATTACCCAAATGCGGCCAAGAAAACACAATTGCTTTCAGTTTAGTTAAGCAAAAAGTGAACTGGGAATAAGTCAAAGTATCAGAACTAACCCTTAAACCAGGCAAAATTGCCCGGCTTTATAAGATAAAGTTTTATTTTACAAAAGGAAAACTGCAAATATTGCTTGAGTATTCCTTATCCGAAATGCTTGGAACTGGAAGTGTTCCGGATTTTGGATTTTTTCAGATTCTGAAATATCTGCAGAAAACATACTGGTTGAGCATCCCTAATCCAAAAATCCAAAATCTGAAATGCTCCAAGGAGCATTTCCTTTGAGTGTCATGTCAGCCCCTCAAAAAGTTTCGGATTTTGGGCCGGCCCGGTGGCGCACTGCTATAGTGCGCCGCTTGGGAGTGCGGTGGCGCTCCCGCCAAGGGTTCGGATCCCACATACAGACCGGTTCCCGCTCACTGGCTGAGCGAGGTGCGGGCGCAACACCGAGGGTTGCGATCCCGTTGCCGGTCCCGGTCTGGTCCAGGCACAACACTGAGGGTTGCGATCTGTTGCCGGACACGAAAAAAGACAAAAAGGAAAAAAAAAAAAAGTTTCGGATTTTGAAGCATTTTGGATTTCAGATTTTCAGATTAGGGATGCTCAACCTTTATCTAATGATGAACAACAAATTATTTTAAGTTTTAGCTAAGATTGAGAGAAAACAGATATGCCCATCACTGAGCAAAGAACAAGACAAGAAGTACTCTTTGCTGTCTGAGATTCAGAAAGGATAGGCCACTGCAAACCCAACCAGCTTACAATTTTGTTCAAGAAAAATATCTTGTGTTCAAAACAATTAATGGAAAAGAATAGTTGGCCTACAAATAAGTCACTGTAAAACACAGTTTCATGTACAACATAACTAGAGAAAAATTTTAGATCCTTTTACCTGTTCTACCCAATGAACCAGGTAACCCATTTCTACAAGGCCATGTTAGAATAGTATGGGACCTGTTTATAACAATGTAACTTTTAAAAACCTATCTGAGTGAGTCAGTTTTCAAATTTCTCTTCTTCATCAATCTTAAGTAAAAAGAGTAAAGGAAAAGAGGGGAAGAGATGTTTACTTAAAATAAAGCTGTTATGTCAGATGTATATGTAATTAAAATTTTATAGTAAAAAAGAATAACAATTCTTCCCCAAGAATAATATTTTCCCTCAGTTAAAACAGACTGCTTGGACAGTTTTTGATATCCTTCCTTACTCAGTTAAAATTACCTGTATTTTGAAAAAAGTAAAAAGAAAGTCAATGTTGCTGAAATACAATGAAGACTTTCCTAGGGAATCATGTCATAATGTTTGAGTTACTGTGGTAGGCAGAATAACGGCCCCCCCAAATAATGGCCCCCCACATCTTACTCTCTGGAATTTGTAAATATGCTCTTTTGTGGCAAAGAGACTTTCTGCAGATGTGATTAAGGTTAAGGAACTTGATATGGGGAGATCAGCCTGGATTATCTGGGTGGGCTCAATCAAATCACACAAGTCCTGAGCAACAGAGAACCTGTCCCTGCTGTGGCCACAGAGAAAGATATGACAACAGAATAGCCAGGGAGATGCAATGCTACTAGAATTGAAGATGCAGGAAAGGGACCACTAGCCAAAGAATGTGGGCAGCCTCTAGAAGCCAGACTTCAAAGGCAAGGAAATGGATTTTCCCCTAGAGCCTCCAGAAAGGATCACAACCCTGACACCTCGACCTCAGCCCAATGACACCCATACCCATCTTCTGACCCACACAACTGTAAGATAATAAATTTGTGTTATTTTAAGCCTCTAAGCTTGTAGTAATGTGTTACAGCAGCATAGAAAACTAATACAATAGTCTATACTCTCTGATAGATAATGAGGAGAATTTCCTACAAGAGAAAATAATGGGATATCCTGTTTAAGAACACAATTTGCCTATTGAACTAGTATAATTTAAGGTAGAATCTTTCCATAAAAGTTTGTAAATAGGAGCTGGCTGGTTAGCTCAGTTGGTTAGAGCATGGTGCTGATAACCCTAAAGTCCCAGGTTTGCTCGAACCCTGTACTGGCCAGCAAAAAGAAAAAACTGTAACTGTATGCTTTAAAACCATTTTAAACTTTTCAGACAATGGTCCAATGTTACGTGTTACAAATGGATGAGTCAACAAAACTTGTTCCCATGTCATTCAACTCCCTAGTCCAAAAACAAGTTTGTGATACCAAAAAGAAGCCAACCCAGGCTGACCACCCTTCCCCATTTCTGAGGATTACTCACTTAATGAATTCTTCTTTACACTGCTGTAGCATCTCACATGTCTGTTGGATTTCTTGCTCACTCAAAAGTACCAACATTCCAATAGTTAGGTGAAGCTTTTTGGGATTCTGGAAAATGCTGCTATCAACTCCACGATCCTGTTAACAAAGGGAGAAAAACAAATTCAGCTCATACAAAAGCAAATGACAAGAACAGAATTGAGAGTCCAGAAATAAACTCATACATGTATGGCCAATTGATTTTCACAAGGTGCCGAGACCGTTCTATGGGGAAAAAATAGTCTCTTCAGCAAATGATGCTAGGACAACTGAATATCCTCATGCCAAAGAATGAAGGTGGACCTTTACCTCATACTATTGTATATACAAAAATTAACTCAAAATGCATCAGTGACCTAAACATAAAAGCTAAAACCATAAACTCTTGGAAGAAAATCAGGATTAAATCTTCATGACCTTCCATTTGGCAATGGTTTCTTAAGATATGAACCCCAAAAAAGCACTGACAACTAAAGAAAAAACAGATAAAATGGACTTCATCAAAATTAAAAACTTCTGTGCATCAAAGGACACTATGAAGAATGTAAAAAGACAACATACAGAATGGGAGAAATATGTGCAAATAAGTTATCTGGGTAAGGGCCTAGTGTCAAGAATATATAAAACACTCTTACAACTCAACAACAAAAGGACAAACAGCCTAATTTTAAAAATGGAAAAAAGGACTTGAATAGACATTTCTCCAAAGATGAGATACAGTAATGCACCACCTAACATTTTGGTCAACAAAAAATTGTGTATACAATGATGGTCCCATAAGATTATAATGGAGATACAAAACCCTATTGCCTAGTGACATAACCATCATAACTTTATAGCACAGTTACTTTTTTATACATTTAGTGTAGCCTAAATGTACAGTGTTTATAAAGTCTACAATAACGTACAGGAATGTCCTAGGCCTTCACATTTACTCACCTCTCACTCACTGACTCACCCAGAGCAACTTCCAGTCCTGCAAGCTCCATTCATGGTAAGTGCCCTATACAGGTGTACCATTTTTTGTCTTTTATACTGTATTTTTACTGTACCCTTTCTATGTTTAGTTATGTTTTGATATGCAAATACTTACCATTGTGTTACAATTGCCAGTACGATAACATGCTGTACAGGTTTGTAGCCTAGGAGCAACAGGCTATACCAGGTACCCTAGGTGTGTAGTAGACTATGCCATCTAAGCTTGTGTAAGTACACTCTATGATGTTCGCACAATGATGTAATTGTCCACTGACATATTTCTCAAAACATATCCCCATCGTTATGGAGCGCATGACTGTACAAATAGCTAACAATCACATGAAGATGCTCAACATCATTAGTGATTTAGAGAAATGCAAATCAAAACCACAGTGAGGTACCATTTCACACCCACTAAGATGGCTTTAATCAAAATAACAGAAAATAAGTGCTGGCAAGGATGTGCAGAAATTGGAACCCTCATACACATTGCTGTTAGGAAGGTAAAAGGATTCAGCCACTGTGAAAAACAGTTTGACAGTTCCTTGAAAAGTTAAACATAGAGTCTGGCTGGTTAGTTCAGTTGGTTAGAGCACAGTGTTATAACACCAAGGTCAAAGGTTCAGGTCCCCACAGTGGCCAGCTGCCAAAAAAAAAGTTCAAAATAGAACTACCATATGACCCAGCAATTCTACTTCTAGGTACATGCCCATAAGAATTTAAAAATGGACTCAAACAAACACGTTTACACATGCTCTCAGAAGCACTATTCACAATAGCCAAAAAGTGGAAATAACTCAAATGTCCATCAACAGACAAATAAATAAACAAATTGTGGTACATACACACAGTGGAATATTATATAGCCATAAAAAGGGGTGAGATTTTGATACATGCTACAACATAGATGAACCCTGAAAACATTATGCTAAGTGAAAGAAGTCAAACATGAAAGGTCATATGTTGTATGACTCCATTTATATGATACATCTAGAACAGGTTATCCATAGAGATAGAACACAAACTGGTGGTTGCCAGGGGCTAGGGAAAGGGGTGATAGGAGAGCAACTGCTTAATGAGTACAGGATTTCCTTTTGGGGTGATGAAAATGTTATGGACCAATACCGAGCTGGTATTTACATAATACTGTCATGTCCTAAATGCCTCTGAATTGTTCACTTTAAAATCATTAATTTTATGTTATATGACTTGCACCTCAATAAAAAAATTTTTTTTTTTTTTTTGTTTTTCCGTGTCTGGCAACGGATCGCAACCCTCAGTGTTGCCCCCGTACCGGACCGGGGACCGGCAACGGGATTGCAACCCTCGGTGCTGCTCCCGCGCCTTGCTCAGCCAGGGCAACGGATCGCAACCCTCAGTGTTGCCCCCGTACCGGACCGGGGACCGGCAACGGGATTGCAACCCTCGGTGCTGCTCCCGCGCCTCGCTCAGCCAGTGAGCGGGAACCGGTCTGTATGTGGGATCTGAACCCTCGGGCGGGAGCGCCGCCACGCTTCCCAAGCGGCGCACTTATCCAGTGCGCCACCAGGCCGGCCCAATAAAAATTTTTTTGAAAGGAAAAAACAAAAATTTTTCGAAAGGAATAAAAAGGAAATGGTAGCCTGACAGAATGATATGGCCCAGGAAAAACAGAATGCCACCTAAAATGCAGGATCTAGGAATATCTTTTGTTCCTTATTAGCTTTGTTAATTCCAGAGCAACTGGGCCCCTCGTGGGCTTCCCCGAAGAATAACATACCCTTTATAAAAAACACAGACCTCTTCCTATCTTAGTGGATACTACAGTATATTCCGGGTAAAATACTTTGTGTTAAGAATAAATTCTTCTGAGCAAAGAGATGAGTGAAAAATTAATTTGGAGAGATATCCAGACACTGGAGTTGCCACATTAAATATGGTCATCCTTTTCCAGCATCATAATTCCTCATACTTTAAAACTTTTGCCTCTGGGAAGCACAAAAGGTAAATATACCTCATGAATCCTTTTTTTTTTTTCCTTTTTGTCTTTTTTTTGTAACCGGCAATAGATCGCAACCCTCAGTGTCGCGCCCGTACCGGACCGGGACCGGCAACGGGATCGCAACCCTCGGTGTTGCTCCCGCGCCTCGCTCAGCCAGTGAGCGGGAACCGGTCTGTATGTGGGATCCGAACCCTCGGCGGGAGCGCCGCCGCACTCTCAAGCAGCGCACTGTAGCAGTGCGCCACCGGGGCGGCCCATGAATCCTTTTTTAAAAAAAATTTAAGTGAAATTCACTTAATACATAATTAACCATTTTAAAGTTTACAATCCAGTGCTATTCAATGTATTCACAATGTTGTGCAACCAACAGCTTTCTTTAAAAAACTTTTTCATAAAAACACTCCATAAATCCATTAAATAATCACTCCCCATTTCCCATCTCCAATCCCTTGGTAACCTCCTATTTGCTTTCTGTCTCTTTGGATTTGCTTATTTTGGATATATCATATAAAAGGAATCATACAATATATGATCTTTGCGATTAGCTTCATTCACTTAGCATAATGTTTCTGAGGTTCATCCAAGTTGTAGCATGTATCAGTATGTCATTCCTTCTTAGGTCTGAATAATATTCTACTGTGTGTATATATCACAATTTGTCAATAAATTCATCTATTCGTCGACATTTGGGTTGTTTCCACCTTTTGGCTATTATGAATAATGCTGCTATAAACTTCATGTACAAAGTTCTATGCTGACATATGTTTTCAATTCTTTGGGGTATATACCCAGGAGTGGAAATGCTGGGCCACATGGTAATTTTATGCTTAGCTTTTGAGGAACCATCAGGCCATTTTTCACACTGGCTGAATGTATAAAGCAATGTATGAGGGTTCCTGTTTCTCCACATCTTTACCGACACTACTTTCCTTTTGTTTGTTTTTTATTATATCATCCTAGTGGATGTGAAGTGGCACTGCACTTTGGTTTTGATTTGCGTTTCCCTAATGACCAAAGATGTTGAACATCTTTTCGTGCGCTTGTTGGACATTTGTACATCTTCTTTGGAGAAACGTATGTTCAAATCTTTTTTTTTTTTGTCTTTTTTACTGACTGGTAACGGGTTCGCAACCCTCGGTGTCACGCCCGTACCAGGGACCGGCAACGGGATCGCAACCCTCGGTGTTGCGCCCGCACCGCGCTCAGCCAGTGAGCGGGAACTGGTCTCCACATGGGATCCGAACCCTCGGCGGGAGCACCACCGCACTCCCAAGCGGCGCACTCTCCAGTGCACCACCGGGCCAGCCCATGTTCAAATCTTTTGTCCATTTTAAAATTTTCTTTTCATTGTTGAGTTTAAGAATTCTTTATATATTCTTGAAACTACGCCAATATCAGATCATAAATCCCTTTTAAAGGTAAGTAGGTCTCAAATTTCATTAATCTCATTCTGCAAATGAAAAATTTTAAAAAGCTGAGACTCTTTTAACATGAGTGAAACAAGAATTCTATCTTTGAATTGAAAGTTCTAATACCATAATTAGATCCTTGGCCTAATAAAACACCCCAAAGGCAGAGAAATGTATTTATCAAACGCAGGTAGCTTATATCCTGTTCTTGGTTTGCCTAAGATTTACTGCCTAATTTTTGCCTTGGCAA